CCAACCGCTCGGTATATTTATTAGAAACTGTACAATAAAACGGAACTTGTAGATATAACAATAAAAGTCTATCTTAAATTCTACTCTTTCATAACAACAACAAAATTTCCCTCACAAATCGTTATTCTTCCAATTCTCGGTAAACAATCGACGGGACAGAAACATTTCGACATTTCATAAACACACCGGAAGAAACGCACGTTTCGCTGATCCTACCCCACAAAAAAAAAGAATTACAAATGCATACACGAGCGGTCGCTGAAGAGAAGGTTAACCGTGTAGAACAATAAAGACGCGCGAAATAAGAATGCAATCGGTGGAACGTGACGAGTGGGAGAGGGGAGAGAAGTTAGCGATCTTTCAATTCGTTGACCAAACTCAATTCAACTACCTTTACCCACCACTTACCCTCCCGGACAACTTCTTCCTTATTCCGCTCCGTCGCTTATTATTCCTTTCTCAAAGTTATTCCGCGAGAATGCAAAATACGCGCGCCAGCGTGGCGAGGAGGTCACGGGTGGCGGTCGGGAGGGTGAGAGAGAGAGAGAGAGAGATGGATCAGCCGAGTGGAGAGAAACGGAGAGAGATAGAGAGGGAAGGAAGTGTGGAAAAAAGTAGTCGAGCCACGTAGAAAGTTTCGCGTAACTTGGAAGATTAGACGAGGCCGATGTTGCCGTTGAAGACAGCCGTTGAAAGGAGGAGGAGGGGTGAGGGGGAGGAGAGGTCCACGACGAGGGGGTGAGCGCGAAGAAAGAAGGTCGACGCTGAACGAAGGATAAGGGAGGCAGTGGTGGCTCTTAGTGACGGACTTAAAAACAATTGCCTCGCTGCGACGCGGGAATTTTAAACACACTTTTATCGCCGGTACGGATGGCTTTTGTTCGGTGAAATCGCCCGGGGCCGGAACGGGGTGAGAATCGAGGACTTGACGCACTCTGTCCACGATCGAAGGGCTCTAAGGCAATTTACGAGGGGTTTTACGGTTTTAAGTGACGCCAGGCTGTCCTGATCTTTTTCCATTCTCCCACCCCTTCTTCTCCGCGCTTCTTCTTTCACGCGAGAGCTTTATATTCAATGTTATTTTAATACCATCCTCTCTGTTGCCTCTTTCTGTTGAATTATACGAGTCGAGATTGGGCGCAGGTGAACAAATTATCACGATGGAAATTGAATGCGACAGATAACGTAGGATTTGATGGTTTCCCTGAGCAACGGCTGGGCAAGTGTAATTTAAAACGAAGTATGTTTAATAGAAAATAAAAGTGAACAGCTGAACTTAATATAATTACACGCGAAAGACTACGCAATTGTCTTTCGAAACTGCGGAGGCTCTTTTGTCGCGCTTTTTAATACTCTCTCCCAAACAATCTTCTTTCGCACCTGTATCGACCTAGATCAAGTATACTCTGTTCAGATTAAACATACGAAATTAAATCACTCCAACGATTAGTATTTTTTCAGTAGCGTAGGAGGTATTCTGGTAGGTTTTTCGTTAATATTACACAAGTTTAGACAGCTTAAACGGGTTAAGCTTGTTGCAAAAGATCGGTTCTTCTTGTTGGAACGGTTAACTGCACAGCGTGTGCACGTTGCACAGACATCATTACGTGCACTCACGACGCAGTTTTCTGGATAACGACGAACAGACGCCGATACAGAGGATCCTTAGTGCGGGCCTGACGATAGTACAAAGAAATCCGCATCAGGGTAATGTCGCGGAAAGTTAGAGCGGCAGCTTAGTGGGCTGCGGTTCGCTGTCTTTGAGAGGAGGTCATGAGTAGTATTTGGAAATGGGCGGAGATTCTGGGATAAGGAAAGTTTTAAAAGCTTCTAACAGTAACCGTTTGAAAAGTATTGTACAATGAACAGATAGAACGTTTTAATCTAAAAATTGCAGTTACCGTAAATAAAATGGCACATGAACGGAATATCGCAAGTTTCGTTTCACTTTAACGTTTCTAAGTTGACCGTATCTTGAAAAATATACAAATCTTCTTATTTATTTATCGAATAAAAAAGTAAATTAGTCGCGTGCTGTATACTCTTGAAATTGCACTATGTAATTGAATTCGCTTTTCCGTGTCCTTCCAGTTAATCTGTTTAATTAAAATCGAGATTTAATTATCATACCGAATTAAAATAAATATACTCTGCTATCTATATCAGGCACCGGAACCTACATAAACTATTCTTCCTAAGAAAAGCAGCTTCCATCGTGATTTTAACAACAATTTTAGCGATAACATTAGAATAAACACTACCATTGGCAGAAAGCTACATGCTCCAGGCAGATATCATTATTTTGTAACCTTCCAGTTACTATGCTCGATCAAAAACCTTCGTGTTTGACACTTCGATTCCCTGCTCGAGATCTCGAAAACTCCACGTGCATAGAACAGATAAGTCGCAGAACGCGAAAGAAGGAATCATACCTAACATTTAGCGGCCTCGTAGATCGTCGTTTACAAAGGGAAAGGAAACGAAAGCGAGACTGCCACAGGACTGTCTGTACAGGAATATTTGCGTGTCAGAAAAGGTGTGACAGGTGAGGAACTTCGATTACAACTCTGGACGAGCCACTAAACTGGCATGGAGCGAGGAAGAAACGAGGGTGGTTGCGGAAGGGTCGAGTTTAGCCGCTCCACTGGTCTGTAACTCGAATTAACCCCGAGAAACACCACTGCCTCGGGAACTTGCCGCGTCAGCCCCGCTATAAGGTCGAAACCTACCGCCAACGGACAGGAAACGGAATCCAACTTCCTTCCTTGGCCGAGGGCGAAGATTAATCTCGACTCAGCCATGCTTTTACCTGTTCCACGGTAACCCCCTTCGAGCTCGACCACCTACCACCACACAGTCCTTCGGCCCCTCTTTTTCATCCCTTGGTCTTCTCTACTCGCGAGACCGCGTACAGTTCTCATCGGGCTCTTTCTATCTACCTTTCTCAATCTGACTCCAACTAACCCTTCCTAACCCTGCAGCCACATAAATTTCCCTGGAGCATTTTCATTTTTTTTGTTTTTTCTTCAACTCTCTCATAACTCATCGCTGGAACTGCTTGTTACAGCTCGAGCACAATGAAACTTGATTTTTTTATGGGGCAAGAATTATTCAAGCTGTCTTGGTATATTGAAATAAATTTGTAATTGAATTGAAGAATTGAAGAATTGAAGAACACGGTTGGTTGCTGCTGCAAATAGTTTTAAGAAACTAGATTGATGGCCATATAGAAATGAATTTTTCAACGATTTTCTTCTTTTAAAGAAGATTTAATTATCGGTGTCAAACAGGTGGAACGTCTAGACGTTTGTTTGGGCACAGATCGGGGTATGAGGAGTTCCCGTGGCCTATTTGTCGATTGATATTTGTCAGGACTGTGGGTCTTTGGGAAAACGAGACCTCAGAGGATTCCACCCTGGCACCAATTGCGTCTCTGAGGATAAGGATAGCCCCTTTCCGGAAAAAGCACGCTCAAAGTGCAAGAGTGGGGATGATAGGGTCCTCTGAGGGACGCCGCATTATACAGGGTGTACAAATTGTGCAATATTCAGTGCGTTTGTAAATATTTGTCAAGCCCTAACAACTACTACGAAACTCACTTTTTCATTTTACGTCCATCGGAAGTTTTAATAGACTGCAACAAAATCTTTCCTCTCACCTAACCTAACCCTTTTCATTCTTACATTCTGTTCCTGGTTTTTCTGCGCAAACTTTCTTTTCGTTACTCCCACACAGTTTTCAGTAGCCAAAACTTGCTATCTCGAGTAGCATCTTTGAGTATTAGCATACGAACGCAATACGTTAAACTAAATGCAATTGAGTTCCAAGTAATGATCGGAGGAAGAAACGTTATTGGTATTATCCTGACATGCAAGAATTTACGATCAAGTCAGAAATTTCGCTAACAAATAACGCATCGTCATCGTGCGAGTTTAACATGATTTCAAGCTGCATGTACCGCAATTTAATTTTCCAGATCCTTGCGGTAACGTGGAGTGCGTAGGACTGGAAATCTGTCAGCTGGACGACTCGAGGCAACCGGGCTGTCGTTGCGGCGAGCAGTGCGGCCTTGAGGTCACACCAGTTTGCGGAAGTGATGGTAAAACATACTCGAATGAATGCAACCTCAGGCAGGAAGCTTGCAGATCGAGATTATCGCTCAGGACGGTCTACGACGGCGTTTGCAGCTCAAGTAATTTCAAATTCACCCTCAAACTCATTCAAGTTGTCACGGAGACATTTGTACCGGTACACCGGAACGTAATAGACGTATTAGTCTCTTTTCCAATAGAGCAAACGAAATGTTCCTTCGGTTCACTTCAATTGTCGTGTATTATTAGCTACCTATAATAATACACTAATTTCTACGTGTATTAAAACTTCTATTGAATTGTTTTTTCTCATAAGCATTATTTATTTAGCTTCTCGTTTATCATGTAACAACACTATTTATTCAATACTTAATCGAAATTTCTAAAGTGTTAGCACGTGTCACCTGATCCACTCATCAGTTCCCACTAGATGCATTCCAATCTTATTTATAAATTTGACTAAACATTTTTTTGAAATTCATCCCAAGCACTAAGTATTCCATACACAACGAATTGCTTTAAAACAAGATAATTTCACCTCTGATGAGTATTTCCCTCGCTGCATATCCCCCTGTTTAAACGAAAATTCAACGTGTTCAGTGTGAAAATTCGAAAACCAAACAGAAGCACCCTTTCGCCATCCAGCTCTCTACGGCAACCAAGCAGCACCCTCGTCTCGATTCACGAGCAGAAACGACTTGGTCGGAATAAACGTTACATAATACCCACTGTTGGCCCAGCGCAAACGTGGGACTTTGATCATGTGGAAGGGTGACACGTGTTGTAAAAGGGGGTATTTTTAATCTTCGTCATTGTGCAGCAGAGAATCCATGCGATGAAGTGAAGTGCGGCCCCTACGAGCAGTGCGTAATCAACCGGCAGGGGATCGCGAACTGCGAATGCAGACCGGAATGCGAGCCAGTGATGAAGCCGGTGTGCGCGCGGGGCGGCAAGACGTACACGTCGCTCTGCGAGCTGAAGAGACAGGCCTGTTTAACGAAGACCAACATCGAGGTCGCCTACACTGGAATCTGTGGCTCTAGGGGGCCATGCTCTGAGAAGGTCAGTCGAGTTCATGCTCCAGGTGCGAGATACGCGAAACATAAAGGAACAGTGGCAAATATTTGAACTCGTAAACAAACACAAACGACGTGACGAAAATCAACGCGCGGACATCCTCCAATAAAGGAGGATCGAATCGAGTGTCGCCTAAGTAAGGGGAACAAGAAAAAAAAAATATGAAAATTTATATTTCGACCTTAAGAGAGGGAAACTGGGTTGTTGCAAATGTTGGGCTCATTTCAAATTTTCGTCGAATTTATTTGTTAATTTCTTTTTATGGGAATTGTTTATAACGTTCAGTCTCCGAGGTGATAGATTCAAAGAAACGCTCAGTATTCTCGTTCGTTCTAGATAGCGTCGAGCAATTATTATATCTCGCTGTTCTTTTGAACTGTACAAAGAGTATGTCATGCAACTGAGGCATACTGTATCTTTACAATGGTTTGAGATAGGAAGAATGTCTTAAGGCAACGTGAAATGGTCTTTGATGGAAAAATTGCGTAAGATAGGAAAATGTATAAGGCAAAATTGAATGATATTGGATATTACGTATTGCTGTGTTACTTTTATGCGTTAGTGCAATTATATCTTTTTTCGTGAAGAACCTTCTAACCTTTAAGTACACTAATCGATGCAGTCTTTTACTCTAGACTAAGAATGTTTAAATACTCGTATTCTAAAACTGTTAGTTTAAAAGTTATTCCAATTTCATATTTACTTCTGTTTTAAACGATAAAAATATGAATAATTGAAAAAACTTAAAAGTAATAACTTTAGAACACAAGTAGAAGCTGAAAAAGTACCCCTTAACTAGTGCATAACTAGTGCTTAACTAGTACCCCTTAAAGTATAGCATTCAGTACCGTATAATTTTGCCTTACAACATTTCTTCTATCAACAAGTTACTCCAGTTGCGTCGGACGTCCTCTATAGTTCACGTGCTATACGTCGTGAAAAAACGAGTTTGCTCGAAACCAACAGAAATCAGGAAGAGCCCAAGAGCACTGCAACGACGTACGTTAGATCCCGCAAATTAAAGCAGCGCGTAAATTGCACGGTGCGATAAAATATCGCAAACGTTAAATCATCGGCTTTACGCGACCGGCTATCTGAGCAATGCTTGCGACAAAGAATCCCGCTGTCGCCGAAAGGTGAAGCTTGGAAAAAGCGAGCGATGATCCACCGCGATTAATCACGCGTTTTTCTCTCGATCCGTTGATAAAAAGAAGAGAGGAAGGAAACAGAATCGCCGTGTCTACGAGTGAAAATGTCCGAAGAGAAAAAAGTCAAACTGATAGGAATTTCTTTTGCAGATGTGTCTGTGGGGCGCGATTTGCGCGGAAACCGGTGGCAAAGCGAATTGCGAGTGTCCAACCTGTCCGGCAGAATTTCAGCCCGTTTGTGGCGACGATGGCATCAGCTACGGAAACGAGTGTAAGCTTCGCCTCGAGAGATGTAAACATCGACGAGAGATCCGCGTGCTCTACCAAGGACTCTGCAGTGAGTATCGATTCCTGAGGAAACCGGCTCCCTAATCTCCTCGAATTTTCATTCCCCACTCGTCAATCTATTTTCTGACGAGACTTCCTCAAAGCACGCTTTTTTTTAAAACCTCGCGCAGAAGTGTTTCAAAAGCGTGGATACCAACTGTACAGACCAGCGAGACTCGTTGAAAGTAACAAAAAAGTTTTGATCAATGTATGTCAGGAATTTAATCATTTTAGAGATAATAAATTTTAATTAATCGGTAGAAGTACACATTTCTGTTCGTAAGTATCAAGACACTTGAGAACTTTTTTGAAACACAGGGTGCACCACCTGACTGTATCACCTGAAATATTTCCGTTCTGATTAAAATTTCGTAAAAATGTTTCCTACAAAATTTGTATAGTTTTATGGAGTAACAATTGTTTTATTGCGTTGTAAAGGGTTAACAAGTTTTGTTTTTTTTTAATGAAATGCTATATTTTATTTATTTGTATGCGACGTAGCTATTTTGAATTCCTGAAGAAGTAAAACCTTTCAAGATTTTCTATAGTGTCTAATACCGAATTTTCGATAGACAGGAAATACTTCAAGTATCGATTTCCATTTACCAAGAAGCAATTACGGTGCATTCGTGAACTGTTCTATTGTTAAAAAGCGTATAGTTCTAAGAAATACTTGGTTCGTTGAATTCCACCTGAACGATTCTAACTTGAAATCTTAATGTAACCGCAGGCAGGTGTTGATTCTTTGACGAGAAAATCAAGAACCGCCAGAATCAGTTCTTGATTCGATGATAGGAAACGAACGCGCTGCTAAATTCGCGACGAAAGCTTTATTATTAGAGGCAAACGATCGCGGAAATTGGGTTTAAAATTATTCAAATGAATTCAACGTGTTATTAGGTTACCGCTAAATATTTAATGATAGAGAAGGGTTGAGTAATATAAATAAATGGTCTTTTTAACGATGATCATTTCGAGGCAAGCAACCAGATTCATAACTAAATTAGCGAAACGTCCATTTAAATTATGAAATATTTACATTCACGGATTGATTGAATTGTCCTCTTTATCGTTTCGATTTAAGGGAGTATTCTTATTTGAAGACCTTATTTTTAGGCGATTTTTAGGAGAAACGCTTTTACACTTTTGCTACGCTTAGCGTTTCTAGCGGTGCATCATTTTTCACAATTTTGGTAACACATTTTCAACATGTTATACTTTGAGAAAATGCGAGAAAAAAATATTAATTCCTTGACCCCTACAAATGGGAATACTCCTTTTCATATTTGTGTCGTTAACCGAAATCTAGCCAATCGTGATTTTTCTCTGCGAAATTCGTGTATTGCATATTGATCGACGTGAAAAGTAGAACTATTAGAACGAAAGTGCACCGACTGAATAATTAAGCAAATTTTATTACGAAACAAATATGAAAAGTAATTCAAATGATTACATTGTACACATTATACGTATGATGATTTTGCAAGCATTCGATGCATGATCAGATAATTTGCATACAATGCATGGAACTTTTCTCCCTCAATATCATAATCGTATTTGCATGTTGATCAACTACGAACCTTTCTGCCTTAAGAATTCTTCGTTAAGGGCATTTGCATGATTACTGAAAAATCCTTTATGCGAATAAGTCCGCAACCAAAACAAAATCTCATTTAAATGTTCAACGATCGATGGATCGTCGGGTATTCAGACAGTTATGATGCAAATTTTGTATGCATTGCAAATTGTACGATAAAAATATTTTTGTTCAGTCACCGCCTATCCGAATGTACAACTTTACATATACAGGGTGTGTCAGGACCGTATCGATGATGTACGCTGATTCTTTGTGCAAAATCGGTCGAGCGTGTAGAATACATTTTTTTTATGTGAGCTTTTATTTTCAAAAATATCGATTCGTAAAGCAACGCACACGAATAATGTAATAACGATAATTCGATTAATACCGACAGACTGTATCGATCATGCATAAAATAATGCTCATGTCCATGTTGATAAATACAAAAATTACTAGCAGAAATTGTAATTCGTAGCGAATTTTTTTCCAAGTGGTGGTCAAGTGTACATACCCCAAATGTTTTCAAACTTGATTCTTTCGAAATCGAAGACTCATACCAAAAAATAATATTCTACACTTTTAGTGAATCTTTGTACAATCAGCCCATACCTGTTTGTACCGCCTATTTTTATTCACTTTTTACATACAATCCTTTCACCGAAATAGTCAATAATTTCTTGTTCATTTGTTCGCACGAATCTTTTATTCGCGAAATTTTCTAATTACCAATAGGAAAGGCAGAATATGAAAAGACTTGCACGAAAGATTCATATCGTGGGAAGCAGAAAGAAAAATCCTGGAGTACAAATGAACACTTAAACGAACATCCTGCGCCAGGCGATTACGCTGAAATCGGATTTCCTACAAGGTGCCAAGTATCCTTACCGCGATCTTGGTAAGGGCGCGCGACATAGCGGTCTAGCTAAACTTTTCTCATAAGCCACCCTATGACGCGTAACCGCTCGTTTCTAAGCGGGGATTCGCTAAAGAAATCCCCGTGAATCGTCGGCAGGAGTCGAATTCCCTAGAAACCCGGCGGGCCGGGCGGCCGTAGGATAATTTGCATGGTTTAAAATCGCGTGAAACTTCTGAAACGTACTGCTAGGATTCGGTTCCATGCATATCGCAGCACAGGCGACTTCGCCCCTCGCTGAAATTGTATGAGTTGTTACCCCACGGCATGCACGTTGCATATGCATGCAGCAGCGATCCTCCACCCCCCTCTGCACATTTCCTCCGCGTTTCTATCTTTGGATTTGACTTGGATGTATACTATACCGATCGCGAGCCCAGAAAGCCAGAAGCTATTGCTTCTCCCTTCTTTCCACTATCCGTTCCTCTCGTTCCGGGTCTGGGTTAGGTCTTCAGCCACCGAAGGCTTGTTACCCTCGACTGTAGTAGCATCATCGACACGTCGCCAAAGAAAGAGAGAGAGAGAGCTGTAAGCCGATGCCCCTTTCCTCTCGGATTTCAATGAATTCTAAAGATAACTTCTCGACTGCAAATCCTACCTCAATGGTAACCACCCAGGGCTCCTCTATCCGTGTTCTCACCCCCTTCGTTCGCAGTTTCTCTGCTTCTTGTTGCTCCCCTTTTCGCCTTTCCCTCTCTCTCTCTCTTTCTGTGTTCCCTCTCCTTTCCTCTCCTCTCCTCTCTCTCTCTGCCGTTCCTTCGCTTTGTTCACAGTACCCCGGATCCTCTCACGCAGTCTCTAGTGGCGCAGGCCAGATAATTTCCCTCGGAATGGATACAGTTATGCAAATACTGAGCGGGAATCTTTATTAATGCCGTCGGCCAGAAGGTGGCCGGACTGCAACAGGGTGGCGAGCCGCTTTGTAAGCGCGTCGATGCCCGGAATCACGGAAACGGAAGGAGCGCGCGCGCGCGCGGGCGCGCTACCCTAAACAATTCAGCCCGGCAGCGGCTTGGTAAATTAGCGGCCCGTGCGAGATATCGCACGGCATCTGCGATTTCTCGGACTACGGTCTTCTCGCACCACGGAATGACGAATGGTCTGTCTTGCCGGTCTTTTTGCCCGCGAGTAATTACCAAGGGAGATAGATCGTTCAGCTCGTTGAACGTTGCATGAAACGATGGAAGGAGGAGCGGTGGGATTGCTTGTTAATTGGAAACCGGTCGTTGTTTGTTCATAGATGGCTGCGAGAATAAGAAGTGTGAATTCTACGCGGAATGTGAGAGCGACAGCGCTGGAGAGGCTAAGTGCGTTTGTCCTAGCAAGTGCGAGAGCCCGGTAAGTTTTTTGTACGATACTTCATTCTAAGTGTTAAATATTCAAAATAGTTGAGAGGTAGTTGTGATGTCTTTTTTATGAAACGACATACGATTATCAAACATTGTATGTTATATTTGTCATTAATTCTAATATCGCGGCATACATTTTGTGTTGTACAGAAAAGTATTAATTAATTTGTTTTCATTGTATATTAAAAAATGAATCGTGCCAGAACAACCTCTTAAAGTGACTAACTTCTTAGAAAATTTATATGCTACATTATATTACACTACTAACACACAACTCTGTTATCAATTTCTGTAAAAAAAAAAATCCCTATTGTTTTTAATAGCAGTTCAGCCTAGAAAAAAGTGAAGAAACTGAAAACTTTGCTTAAAAAATGTAATTAAATAAAGATTCAGATTGAATCTATCAGTAGAAAAATAAGTATAATTTCATGCAAGAAATGAAGTTGTTTTTGGATGAAATTTTCGCAAGTTATTCCGTCGATTATCTTAACTAGAATGTAGAACTGTTTCCTTGAGATGACAATGTCAAAGTCCCCCGAACATTTAATGAAACGCCGGGGAATCAAATTAAAATATAATTCATCGAGGAGAATGCTGCTCATTTGCGAAATCTACTTAACCTTTGCTCTGAAACGCGAATACACTTCTGCAGATTAATTCCTAAATCGTATTGAATGTAATTGAGTTAATTCTTATCAAAGTGAATTGGAACGCATCGTCAGAAGCTTGGTTAGCCGATTTCAATTTTCCAACGCACAAATCCGTTCGTGAAATAATAATTTTTATCTCGTTTGCCAGCTATCCTCCGTTCCTTCAATGAAAAAGAAGTGAAGCTAACCTGTCGCTTGAAAATAAAATAAAAACCTCGTAAACTCAAAACCGAAAGTTTAAGAATCTCTCTTGAACAACACAAAATTCCCTAGCAACAGTAACACGTTAACTTTAAAAATTCATTGGAAAATTTATACGCTTCTCTTCTCGAATAAATATTTACAAAATTACATCTCACGTCCGCAAAGAAAACCATCGGAAATTTTCACCTCAAAGTTAAAAAATAGCAGAAGCTGTTATCTAAACGACTGCTCATACTGCAACGTGAAAAGGGGTTATTTCAGATAACAGCACTCATTTACCTCTTAACCTTTCCCCCTTCTTGCACTCCTATATTCTCTATTATAGACCACTAATCATGAATATTTTCAGATATGAATTTTAGAAGAAAAGAAGGATTCTACATCGATTCGCTGAAATATTGAATTAACATAAAACCAAAATCTTATTCCATACCTGAAATAATATTTGAAGATTAATTATGCAAAAAGAGCCTATTAGTTGGTATGAGGTACGAAATGATCGCCGTTAAACATAGTAAGCCACCAAACGCGTCGATCTCCCAGCCTTTACGTGCTTACAACCATTCGTAGCGTTAAGCCTCGCTCGTTAGCACAGCCTAAGTAAAATATTCATACCATGATGGATGTGCCGTCGGATATATATATACAGTGAAGCCAGAATACGCTGGTCGTGCACGATATTTCGCATTTCTGTTACACTACACGATGTTACGCGACCGTGTAATGAACCGTTCGTTTCATCGATATCGATCCTCATTTTCAGATCGGCCAGCGTACCCGCCATTTTCATTAAAGCCTTTCTATCAATTTTCCCGCTCTGTGATTCTATTTCCTTCTCGTTTCTAATTTTGTCGCTCCATCTCTCCTTCGATATTTACCTTTACCAACTCATTAGTGTCCAATGACATTTATGCGTCTAGAGTCTGGATAATAATTCCAAAAATTCATCGATACTTCTTTGTATTATACTTTGATAATTCAAACTTCAACCTATAGAACCTGCCAATATTTTGAGAAAATTCCTCGAGGATATTATGCTTGGTAATAGCGTAATTAAAGTCCCATAAATCTCAATATCAAATCTGAATCTGAAAATACTAACTAGAAAATGTAGAGTAATATTTTTTCATACGAATCTTCGTTTTAGAGTAAGTCAATGTTAAAAATGTATTATAATTAAAAAAATGGTGTTATAATATTTCCGTCAATTTTTTTATCAGTAAAGAATAATTCTTAAAATTCTTCTGGGATTAGAAAAATGCTTAAAACTTTGAATATTGAAAATATTTCAAGCCTATATTACAGTCAAAACATAAATAAAGGTACATATATGTAAAGCACCAATATTGTATCGGTCTAAACCCGAATACCACACCTTAAGTGAAATGTGCTCTTGTTTCATTATTTATCCTTTACTACCTAATATAATAATCTATTTCTAGCGTCTCGAGTGCAAGCACACTTCATACAGACTTAACGACGATATTCTCGGAAACAAAGCTTCTCATGAGAATCTATCCAACAGTAGCAACTTGCTTTTTTATGCAGAATAATCCTCTCTCAGTTCGTCCCATCGAGGCGTCCAATATTAATTCACCAATATTTCATTCCACCATAATATTCCATTTGAGGAAAAATTTGTCGACGATTCCCTTGATCGTTCGAAACGAAACGCTCGGATATTCTCGCCAGCAACAATCAATCTTTCGGGGGATCGAGATCGGGTATCGCGTCGATTCTCCTCGAAATCCTGGGTGCACCCGGGGAAACGAATACGTGCGCCCGTGAGACAGAAAAAAGGAAGAGGAACGCGGCTTTATCGCGAGTAATCCGCGATGGTTCTCTGGAAGCTCACCCCGAGCAAAATTTCTCCGAGCAGAAATATTCGTTGGGAATGGAGAGCACGTCACGACTCCCCGAGATAGCGTTCGCCGCTTCGAGGAGAGACTTCTTCTTCGATCCGGCCCGGGACACACGAGACGGTTCGGAAATTCACGGATTCGTGGAACGTCCTGCTGACAAAACCACGAACAATTCCTGACTCTCTCTCTCTCCCTCTTTCTCTCTCTTTCTTTCTCTCTGGTGCACAGCTTCGATGTTCTCAGTCGTTCAGGTAACTGCCTGGGGCGCATGTTTCTTTCTCCAAAAGGGATTGGAAAAGTGGTCCAACGCTGCGGAGGCGGCAGCTACACGAGCTGGCCCCGGAGCTATCCGAAATTCAACGACGTCCACGTTAGAGGACTCTTATGGCCGACCAGCCATCAACCGGAACGACCTCGTGCCGCGGCACGTGCTATCGCCTCTCGTGAAACCACCACGAGACGCACGTTTAGCGGCCGATTTTCTTCTCGGTTGTTTCAGACAGTGGATCTATTTGAAACTGGATCGCTTTGAACTAGTCGGGGAAACGTTAGAGTACGGTTTATGGGCAGGTGAAGGTAATTCAAGATGATAAAAATGACCATTTTGTTCAAATCTCGATGATCTTCTCTAGAGAAACGGTGTAGTAAAAGGTAGTTGGGACGAGCTACCAAATTTTGATAGAAATTAAAAGTAACTTGGTGTTAATAAAAACGCAGTTTGTTTTCTTCATGTTTTCCATACCTATCGTACAGATTATAGCTTTTCTTTCAAATTAAAACACTCGAGGAATATACTTTCAGTACTACGAACGTTTAAAAAGTACAAAATTCGAGTTTTTAGACCTTAAATATTCGACTGCTAGCAATTGTACATGTTTCTAAAGCTTTGTTTTTTCTATAAGAAAATCTGTACTCCTTTAAGGACGGAATTATGCAATCGTTGCAAAGAAATTTCACGAATCCAGTTCTTCCATCGATTGAGAATAATTTTATTTTCCTTGGAAAAAATAGGGAAACAAAACAAAACGTCGCTGATTGATTGCGATGCATCAGCGTAATTTTTAGTATAAGATCGTTGGGTATTCCACCGCGATCTTCCGTCTTAAACGTGAAATTACATCTTCCTCGCATGGACGCACAATGTTCCCGCGAATTTGACGCGTCAGCGTTTCACGGGAACGGAATGGGGGCGAAAGGACTTTCGAGAAAAGATGGGATGAAAAGGACTGAATCGAAGGCACGGAGAAAGAGATGAGGGTTAGGGGCATTGTTTGAACTGGAAACGAGGAATATCGGTACCTCTCAGCCGCCCTTACAGTCCCGTGAATCCTCTCGTAATTGTCTCGTAAATTACAATTAAAAGGAGAGAAGGTGCGTATCAACTTATCGCGGAAACTAATTAAAATGCATTGGTCCACTATGAATATTTTCCTCCCCCCGACTATTCGTTATCCCTTTACCCTTTATCCTGAGAATAAAACGGTGGTATTTATTAATCCATCGAGTAGTTTAAGGGAAGGGACTTGGTGGAAGAAAGGATTAACTTGAGGAAAAAGTGATTCGAATTGAATCCTCCACTTATTGCAAAGTGGCTTTTATGAATCAGTTACCGTATTAGCCTCGTCAGATGTAATACTGAAGAATGAAATTGTGGAACACCGATTTTCCGATATAATACGGAAAGTTCTTTATTTAAATAACAGTTAATCAGCGAAGTTCTATGCAGCAATAAAATATATTAACTATAAACCCACATGGTCGTTGAAAATGTTTTTTCTCGAAGAAATAAATAAATAGCAATTGAATCAGTATATAATTTCTATTGTCGACCATATTCTACCACTTTTCTACATCGTTCCAAATATCGTATACGTGTTATCTCAGTGATTTCTAAATTTTTGTTTAGCAGCCTATCACGTGGATTGTCCCATGTCTATAACGTGTCACGATTGCGAGTCAGTTTTATTATAAATTAACTTGGTGTCATTGAAAACGAGGAGTGTTATGTTTAATGCCTTATCTTTCTATAAGATTCTTAACAATATCGTTAATTGTCCAGAAATGTTATCTCTGTTCAAACTTTATATACCATCTAGAGGTTTCAGACGTTGTATCCTTTTTTTCCTTTGCCTTTCTACGGTGTCTAACACCTTTTGTCAATCTCTTGACTTTTCTGGCAAATCTTTACACAATTTCAAAAAATATCCATCGTCCACGTTTCGAACCGGTAATGCTCGTTTATCTTTGTATACCAAAGGGTTATTCTATCCGTGTGTCTACTAAACAAATCTCCAATTTGAGAAACGGTACCGTCATAAATATCTCGCAGTTCTGAATTTCAACTACACCGGACGAGATTCTTCGTTTGATATACACACATGCTCAACCACACGCACACTTACGCTTGAAAAAAGCACGCACACGCAGAAACGCTGCAGAAGGAACGGCGACCGTGAACGCGTGGAATGAACAAACAACGCTGGGGTTGAATATGGCGACCAGGCTAATTAAGTTTTGCACTTTCCCGTATTATTTTATCATCCCTATACACGACCCATCCTCCGGCGTCGCGACGCCAGCGTACGTCAGAGTGCCTGCCGGGCTACGACTTGGTCGCGTGCAACAAGTGCGAAACGCATGCAATCTCCTGTTTTCCTCACGGTTCCCTCTAGCCACGTAAATATGCATGGCGAAAAAGTATTGTACCAATGTGACCATTTTTGTTGGACAATACAGCTTTAGCACGAGGGAAATTGTTCAGTTAACACGTTCCTCTACCAAGCGTCTCATATGTGTGACGCACAAATTCCTTACATGCACGGTATTATCTACATCTAACACAGTTTGTGTATTTAACGAATTTCAGGTGTGTATAAGTGCAGGTATCCGTCGTATTATGTAAAACTGATAAAAATATACAGTGCACCCTCGAACAACGCGGGGGTTAGGGACGCCGATTGTTCGTGTAGATGAAAATCCGCGTAATTAGGAACCACCTTCACGAAAAACTGAAGTACATTTCTATTCTTCCAATGCATGTACAGATATTTATATGTATATACACTGCGTGTCATAACTATAAAACCACCTCAATAATTAATCTAATTAGTAACGCGTAGGCCCTCTTCTATTTTCAATTAACTCAATTATTCGATTGTGTACGTATATACACGTACATATTATCTAATTACATTGTTCACGCATATAAATACCATGAAACTCTAGCTACGTAGCTCGCAGGCACACACTGGCCGTTTGATTTTTCTTCCAAGTTCGACTGTTCGTTGTGTACTTGAATTCGGTACCACTGCTTCTTGTATGCAGGGGCGATTTGTGAGGAATTAGTTCACACGCACGAATATGCTAAATATGTAAATTGATTCGAAATCCGCGAATAATCGAAACCGCGTTGTTCGAGCGAGCACTGAATTTCCTACAAGACTACGATCGCGAGGAATAAGCGTCGTTCGCCGAGGCACTCGTTCCGGTAGCCTCGTAAACACTGACTGAGGACGTTTCGTCCTACCCGATTTCTACACACCGAGCTATTCGCGCACAGCTAGCTTGGGTGAGTCACATGGTATTAACCTCTTGTCTCATAACATCGCGTGAGACTCGCGATATTTTTTCCACGTCGAACATAAGAAACACGAGCTCAGGGTCGCTTAACGTACATCGAGCCAAACATAAAGCTAGGAGTCCTTTCGAGAGTGAAACTATCGCGAGTTGCTCTCGAGAGTATTTCTCGCGAGTGGGCACTGCGTGTGAGAGTAACTGTCTGAGAGCATCGCTCAACTGTCTGAGAGTTGATGTGTTGCGATTTGCTCTGGACTTAGATACAAAATTATATTGCTGTCGGACAGTTGTTTACTCGTGCGAGTAAAAAATGTTAGGAAAAAAAATTAGTCGAGAAGTGAAATTACCGATTTAATCACTCTTTATGCAGAAAAATTGGTCATGCGGAATACAAAAAATGTAGAATATCGTAACAGAGAACAACAATTATTGGAAGAAATTGCGGCAAATTTTCATTGCTCTGTAGAAAATATCCAGCGTACAATGCATAATCTACGGAAGCAGCTCTCACCTCACGCTTATTTAAAAAAATACTGCAGAATAGGCGAACAGGCGGACACAGACGAATCTCAAATGGATACAGTAATTACATTATGTATTCAGTAATATACAGACGAGTGTGTAAACGTATATTCAAAGAAAATAAAATATTTTTAGGATTTAGTTTGAATAAAAAATTCAAAATTCACTGTACAAGTAATGTATATGGGTGCTTCGTAAACAAGATGTTGAATAATTAGATCAATGGATCGAATTAACGCATTTTCCATTTTAATTTCAGGCAAAAGAGTCCGCAGACGCGGAAAAAGTTTGTGGCTCTGATGGAGTAACTTACGCCAATGAATGCTCTTTGAAAGTGGCTTCCTGCACTTTGCAAACTCACATCACTGTCAGTTACATAGGCGATTGCGGTAAGCTCTCTCTAGCTACTTATCCATTGTGTTATCAACGTTACATTCAACGTGAAAAGTTCACTTAACAACCAAGACCTGTTATTTAATTAACATTCTTTTTATTCCCCTAAGAGAAAGATTGAAAGAGGAGGTAACGCGAGATTCTAAGGAGGAATAAATGTTTTCAGAGCTTTGCGCGAGAGTAGAATGCGAGCACGGGGCTCATTGCATGGCTGGTGTATGCGTGTGTCCAGACGAATGCCCCGAGAGCAATGGGGAGCCCGTGTGTGGTAGCGACTCCAAGACATATTCATCCGAGTGCGAACTGCAAAAGGCAGCATGCGGAAGAGATCCTAAATTGCCAGTCTTGCACGTGACATTCTACGGCGATTGTGGCGAACGATTCGCCGTTGCAGCACTGAGTACGTTATCTATTGTACTTTCTATCTAAAGATGAGTCCTTTTTAAACTGAAAAATAAACTTCCCACGAAAACGGTTCGAATAGCTTTCGAGAATATTGAAATAAACATTTGACGTGAACTCTTTCCAAATAACTCAACATAGCGAAGAGAAGCGAAGAGAATTACGAAATTTACAAGTCTGCAGCGGTTTTTACGCTGACAGAAAAATCTCAACATTTTTATAATACAAACAGTACTACTTGAATAGTGAATTTACCATATATCTTCCGTTCAACTTACAGCATGCTAATTCTTCTACCATGCCTTTTTAATATTCTACAAATACAATCTACACGTTGATTGTTAGTGAAACACAGAAATTTAAGCCTGTTGGGGAATACGTAAGTTCCGCGGACTGAAAATCTGGAATCTCACAAAGGCGAAAAGCCTAATTGACCATTAACTTCACAAAAGCGCTTAACTAACACAGCAGACGCAATTCCCTGTGGTGTGCCGCCTCGCGTTGTCAACCTGTCGAAATTAATCGCAACCTATCCAAAAACGCCTCTCTGACGAAACTAACCAACTATCTAACAACGTCTTACGCAACAGCCCTAACGACTTTAACCGTCCCTTAACCGCTTGTAATAGCCACGATGTCGACGCCTGCGGTGGTTCGATTGGCCACCACCGCAGTTGACGTGACCAGCACTCAGGTACGCGAGGCTTGCAAGAACATTAACTGCGACTTCGAAGCGACCTGTGAGCTTGGGCCAGATGACTACCCCAGGTGCAGCTGCAAGTTCGACTGCGCTTCGATTTCTCCGGAAAATATGCGTCCTGTTTGCGGTAGTGACCTAAGAACCTATTCGTCTCTGTGCGCTATGAAAATGGAAGCTTGCCAGAGGCAGCAAGAGCTAAGACCTAGACCTCTCGATCTTTGCCAAGGTTCGCCAATAGCTTGAAAATCTTCACTCGAATCGCTTCATAATCGCCTTGACCTTGCTTTCAACTAATTTCATTGTACTATAGCATGTTCCAACTGTTTCATTCCCTTGTTAATAGGTTGATGAATTGTTTTCGATCGTCACGGAATTTTCTGCAATTTTCATTCCTTCTTAATTTAAGCGTCTTATTGTCTGTTGATAGTTTAGTTTCGTTTTCCCGAATTGCCGAAGAGTAGATATTTAATTTAGATTTTCTCTTGAAGAAATTAAGCTTTGTAATGTAAGTGTGTTTCACACGAAATGTCTAACTTAGGTATGGAAGTGAAACCCTGCAACGGTGATCCTCCATTGAGGGATTCCGACGGAAAGGAGTACGACTGTGGAAATGGTCCTGAACGGAGAGACTGCCCGAGCAACAGCTATTGTCATCAAACTACACGATTAGCTCGCTGTTGCCGAAAAGGTTCGTTTCTATAATTTTCGCGTATTTGCATCGATGTGAATTCACTTGCAAATTTTCACCTTTCTCCATTAAGTAAAGCTTCGAGCTTATTTTGTAAAATTGCATAAGATAACAGGTGTTTTGTAATTTTATACAAGGAGAGAAAAGGAAAAATGTAAATTTCTGATTATTTAGCAGAAGGAACCCAAGTCGTAAAATGCTCGGATTCCTGGCATGGTTGCTGTCCGGACGGCAAAACAGCAGCTCGCGGACCCAATGGTGCAGGTTGCCCAAGTTTATGCAACTGCAACAGGTTAGGCAGTGTTTCTGACACCTGCAATCCGGTAACCGGACAATGCGAATGCAAACCGGGAGTAGGTAGTCTAAAATGCAATAGCTGCATGCCTGGTTACTGGGGTCTGCCTAAAATCAGGAGGGGACTTCAAGGATGCATACGTAAGGAAATGAAAAATATAATAAAAAAAGAATTTACATTAAAGAATGATCGAGATGAAATTGATTGAACGATTAAATAAAAATATCTCCACACAATTCGATAATCTACCCTTATCAATAGCGACGTATTTCGTTATGAAATATGATTCATTGATAAAATTAACCTTAACCAGTACACCAATGGTATTCGTTTAATTGCTTGCAGCATGCGGCTGCTCGCTCTTCGGTTCTGCGAGGGAGGACTGCGAGCAAATGACAGGTCACTGCGTCTGCAAAAACGACATCAAGGGCCTTAAATGCACTATCTGTATCGGCCATAACAACATATTAACACCTTCTGGTTGCTATTCAGGTAACACGTGGAAAAAGAGCAGAAGTGAAACATTCGCAGAATGGAAACATTGAAAAAAAAAAAAAAATGGCAATCTCTGCTAATAACCAGAATTATCCAGGAAAACACAATTATCCTTTACATCCTAAATAAATTCCCTTCGAACAATATTACAGCAACATAATTCACAATGTAATTCACTCGTATCAGATGAACGAGGACAATAATTGAACGCAATAACTTCGATTGATTAACCTAATGGGATCATTGTATCTGCTTGCAGCGGACACGATGCCGCCGATACCGACGTCCTGCAACGAGCTGCAATGCTATTCCGGCGGCAAGTGCTCAGAGATCGGCGGTCCGCACTGCGTCTGTCCGTCGTCCTGTCCATCGGACATACCGTCCGTGCCGGTTTGCGGTAGCGACGGACAGACATACGACAACGAGTGCGAGCTAAGGCTGTACGCTTGTCGTCACCAGGCAGACGTGGTCACGCAGGCCTTTGGCCACTGCAGAGGTGGGTTCACTGAACGTACGCCGCACAGGCCACCTTATATTCTGCATTACTAATCTCGCTAATCGTCGGGAACACTTTTAACACGTTGGAGCAGCTGCTGAACAGGCTCTGATCCTATATGTATATAACAGTACAAGGCTGTTCCTATAGAATTAAATTAGTTCTATCGTGCACGGTGTAAAATATTTGCTGTTCTTTTTTTTTTATTTATTTTTTTTTTTTCAATTACTCTCGAACGTATCGATGAATTTCTGATTAATTTTGAAAATGTCTAGTTTGTACATGTAATTCAAGAATATAGGGAGTAACGTGTCTATTTGTGAGAAAATAGGTGACGAGCAGCGAATATAATATTTAAGGAGAGCTACTAATAGACGACTGACGAAACGGTCGTCGATGCTACGAGATGTTGTCGTAACGATTTCGAGGGTTTGTGAATTTGACAGTAGCTTAAATAGGAATATGTGTTATCTAGAAAATGGAGTTTGAATTAGGGAAATGAATGATACATTTAGCGTCGCCTAGGAGACGCCACGAACGATCTTGCACGGCCTGATCGGAAACTAGGACTAACATCTTAACCTGTTCCTTTGTATCCATTACGTGATAATAAACTTATCAAGTTTCTACTAACATGTATACATATATGTTTATAACCCCCTTATACCCGAAACGCTTGTACGCTACTTTGCTTGCTCTCTTCTCTAACATATCGTGATTAATTTCATGTAATAACAATTTGTCATATAATCAATTCTAAACGGAAAACAATCGATCAATCGTCTAACAAGAAAGAAAGCAAAGTAAGTCGAATTACTTGAAACTTCAAGAATACCATAGGTAAAATCATCCATCGTTTCGATTATGATAAAAAAAAACATGACCGTGTTTCTTAACGAAAAAAAAAATTTTCTTAATTGGGAATACTACTTTTTCGCAAGAAGGTCGATACCTTTTCTCGACGGAACAAGAGAATTGAAACGCACGAAAGATTTAGCCGGACCTAAGTGTGGATCCGCGAAATTTCCTTTATCCCAGGAGTGCGCTATCTCACTCGTAGGTAAATTCCGGGAAAGTTGGTGACGTTAACTCGCGAAACTAAGCGCCAAAGGTGGATTTAACTAAATCACCGTCGACTTCGAAGGGAAGTCTCGTCTTAAGTGGTCCCTGTGAGATATGTCTGGCCGAATCTTAACATCGGAACCTTAAGAAACGGTAACGAAATGTCCTTGCTCCGGCCGTTAAGCACAGTTCCGCCATCAAAATAAATTAGTCCGCGAGAGAGCTAAAGCCCTTCGAACTTCGAACGAACAGTGTACCGACTGCTTTTTGATACCACTGTTCGCCATAAATTTGCCGCTGGAGATTCATCCAATGGATTCCCATGAGTTCCCGTGGACCAGGTAATCGGGGACAGAACATTAGATCTAGTCTTTCAAATTCATCGAGTTGGTTAATACCTTACATGTCATTTTACATTTACTTCAATTTCTGACAGAACATTTGCGATCGTATATTTAAAAAAATATATTTAACAAAGGAAGCAAGAAACCTTGAGATAAATTGGTTTTATTTGCATTTTTTCGTTTAATTGACACACGTCCAGTCAAATCACAAATGAACGTAATTAAATATCCAATAATATGACAGTTTAGTTGATTTTCAAAATATTAATACCTTTATTCAAAAAACAGTTGCATCTTTTTAGGATTGTCAAAAGTACTTTATTTAATTGACGTGCATTTGGTATTCGGTAAGTTAATTTTCTGCGGTTCTACAAATAAATAACCACTGTAAAACGGAACAAAAATTCGAGCTCTTATACCAATCGATTCCTTCACAAAATTTTCCCAATATCTGACACAGTGTCAACGAAATCGTTCAACGAGTATAAATACGACAGAATTCCTGACCAGCTCATAGTTCACATACAACTGATTGACACATTGAACAGAGCTACGCGTTTAGTCTAGTTCCAGATGAAGAAAGAGAGAGTCGATGGAAAAAAGCATCTCCAGTTGTCGCTCCAAAGTATTCCACATTCACTGACAAAGTTCGCGGAGCGAAACATCGGAATCTATTAAAGTCTCCTCTCGATTCCGTAACCTCTAACCCCTTATTTTCGATTGCTCTAGCCCCCTCAAAGTCCCGCACAGCCAACTGCGTCACCGTGGTCCTTTCGTTCACTGGAACTAAATTTCTTAAAAAGTTCTTCTTCCCCGGGACTTGTCCTTAGGAGTCAAACATAAATCAGATTACTTCGAGCACGTGAATCGTATTTCTCACTCAGCCGCTCTCCTCGCTTCTGTCTTCGCGCTTTATACAAGAAACGATTCGCCCTTTTGACTATTCCTTCTTCAACCACTGTTTCCCTCTTCCTTCTGCGTGGTGCAACACACGAGAATTCCGAGAACGTGCAACGATACTTTCAGGCACGTTAATATTGGATATACATATACCGCAAATCTCTTCGACATTCCTCGCGGGTGTCTTCCTCGAATCGGGGATACGTAAGCATTGATTGAAGGATGAATATCTTGCTTACGTGGACGTTCCAATGTGCCACGAAGGTTTATCGGGAGAGAGGGTGCGTTTGATGGATGTGGCCACAGAGAAAAGAGAGGGCGAGACGATTGATTGTTTTGTTCGGGAACAACGAACGTATCGGAACGATTGGAGTGTCGTGATTTTGGAAAATTCGAACAGTATTGTTAAAAGGGTAGGGTAATATTTTTACTTTTTAAAAATTCGAGAAAATGGCTGAAAGTTACATTTATATCCTCTGAAAAAAAAATTGAAATTTCTCATTTGATAGTTACCTATAAAAAAAAAATTCCCAAGCTTTACCTACTTTTGGACGCCTCAGGGTGGTGTAGGTACTCCTTTAAAGAATAACTGAATACTTGAGGTGATGATTAAAGTGCAGAAATTGATCGTGCAAGGATATTATTGTCGTATTTTTATTACACCCATTTGTATATTAAATGTAGTATAAAAGATACAAAATTTTAGGGTTGCAAAGAAAACACTCGGCGTAATTTTTACTTTTAAAAGCTAGCTCAGCAAAAAGTACCACAAGAGCACGTTCGAAGGAAGAAAAGACTCGGTTTTATTTTAATATCGACGTAAAATTATTCTATTATTTCTACATGTTATTTATTTCTGACAAATTACCAATCAATTTGTTTGAATTTACGAGAAGAAAAATTGTTCGGTACTATAACTCAATGAAACCGTAGCCTTACATATTTCACAGTCACGTGGAGAACAAAGGAAGAGAGGCGAGGCGCCTTTATTCAAATCAGCTGCGGCTGTGAGAGAATTACGAGCCGGACAGAGAAGCATTTACACTAACATCAGAAATTCAATTGCACGTCGCAAAATAGAGGAAAAGAGAGAGTGGGAAGAAAAATGACTCGTTCACCCCCTGAACTCATCGGTGAAACTTATTTCTCGCCGGAAGCGGCGCCGTCGTGTCGGCGAATCGAGCAAGAAAAGCGGGAATAAACGTAAAACCAGAAAGTTGTATTTGACCACTATTGTATTTGAACTCTCAACTTCATTGAAATTCCACGCTTTTAGCAGATCAATACGAGGCTAATCCCACTCTCCCGAGTTCTTCGGTGCTCTTTATAAAATAAACAGGAAGGGAATGAAATAATGGAACAGCCAAAACGGTAACGGTAACGTCGATAAAGCCTTCCCCCTTTCCGATGAAAAGACCAATCGACGGAGCGGATCGAGAAAGAAATTCTCTCGGTTCGTAAATGTCAACTCGTATTTCCCGTCAGATTCTCTTCTCCGCCAATCGTCGAACTCTTAAATTGACTAAATCCATTCCCCCTTTCGTCCTTTTCTTGGACCGCCCCGCCACCTCCTCTTACCAACCATCTCATCGACCCTCTTCTATTCACTGTTCCACACCGTTTCCCGGAGAAGAAAATATTTTCAATGGGGGCAGAAGAGGGAGTGAGAGATAGAAAAGTTTCGTTGTCGGTTTGTCTCGCAGTCAATAAAAGAGTCGATTATATCGAGGAGAGCACGTCGGCCATCGCGCAGCAGCCAGTGGCGCAGAGCGTGCAGACATAAAGAATAGCGGCAAAAAACAATGGGAAAAAGTAGCGTGCAACGGAAGTCATCATTGTGAAATAATAGGAAGCAACGGTGCAATTGGAAAGTAATTAAAATCCCATCAAGCCGTTTTCAACCCTTGCTTGCCGGCTTACGTTCGAACGACCGACAGTATTAGCTTTTCGATTCTCATTATTTAGAGGAATCTGTACGCACCTTCATCGCTCGATCCCCTATTCGGTGGTTCCCTTTTGTCCGTTACGATATCGAGACTACTGCTATTCGATGTGTTACCACGTTAACAGCGGTTGGAGAATCAGGATGAAACTCGTTACGATATTTGAACGTCAAAGGATCCCCGTCGAATCGTCGGTATCGTGGTAACGACGGGGGAAATCAGATAGATTGAGAATTTTCGTGACGATCTGACGCTTTTCTACTGATAGATTATATTACAAGATCCTGTTCTTATACATGTCTGAACGTATTTTTTCATCCCTTAAAAACTCCGAAAAAAATGACCTTGGGAAAAGAATATTCTTGCCAGATATTGGTCCTTTGATACCATTCACATTACGTAGAAAATATTCTTTTGCATCGTCACAATTCTAAGAGATATTTAGGTGGCCTTACTTAAGAGGACCATCCTGCATGTTTCTATGATAAAAGCGTGTGAAATTAGTACCTACATCGTTTAAATATTACAATTCGTTGCTCGCTCGAACCACGTTTCTCCTCTCTAATACCGATAGGAAAAATGTAATTTAAATGCACCGTAAAATCGTTGCACTTCGAAACGAACAATAGCAGAAATGTGGTAGGTTCGTGAAATTTTCAGACAACCCCATGGTGATCACGGACGGCCCCTTTAAAAACTACACAGAGGTACAATACACCCAGCCAGCGGCCGCCATTTCTCCGTTATCGAAATCTACCAGGCATCTGTTGGTGCCGGAACCGGATCCACGCTATTATTACACTCACCGGGCGCATCAAGAAACGATCACGATCGACAGGGACAATTTAAAGCACGGTAAAAATCGAGCCCAATTCCATTCTACGGCTGTTCGAGCCGATATTTCATCCAACATACATACAGTGACTACAGAAAAGAATTTCCACCCCACCTTTTCTCTTATTTCGAGATATCTACGTATTGGTTAGTTAGGTTTAAAAATGAAAAAAGAAAAGTACCAGTACTTCTATTCGAAGAAATTCAATAATTTTCAACTCTGGTTTACTTCGATAAGTAACATAATTGACCTTTTGTGGGATCAACTGTGCTCTCATTTGCTTAACAATTCTGCCAATTATCTCTTTACAAGGCTTACTTTTGAAGTTGCAAAACTGACTTAACCCTCTGCAACCCCGTTCTTCTTTCGATCATGACAAAATCAAATTACGGTTCACTTCAATATGACATTTTCATCGGAGAAGTAGAAATAAACTTACAAGTGACATGACGTCATAGAGAGTTAAATAAATAAATATCCAACGAATTGACAATTTTTGTATCCACTGTACGTACACACCGTCAAAATCGACTGAAAATGCGATCGGTTACCTTCTACAACAGATGCTTAATAATTTCGTCACCGCGAAAACATTCTAAACGTGACGTAACTAACAGTTTGAAATCCTGCTGGATAAATGGAACGAATTATATATATTTGTGCTCTTATGTACGCTCGTATATATGTATGTGTGTCGCTTCGAAACGTGCATTCGTAAATCGGATTGGCGGTTAATTCTGGATCAGCTCGACGTCGGTAATCGGATCGATATCGTTCCAAATGACGTTCGTTCGAGCGATGGTTTTTCCTCGAGAATTAAACCAGCAAGGTGGAAATCGATTTACATGATAATTCTCTTTTTTAGGAGTAGCCGCGGCGTACCGACCGACACCGGCAACAATTCGCGTGGTTACCGCGTTACTCGGTGATCTATGCACCGACGACAAGGATTGCACCATTCCCAATAGCGAATGCTCGAACGGAGGCTGCATCTGCTCGGAGGGATACGCGGAAACCAGCGACAGACAGGAGTGTTTTGGTAATTCATCGAATATTATCATTCGACCCTTTAAATACACGATTTCTCCAAATCTAACGGAACACGTTGAAATTCCCAACTTATACGCTTGAAAATTATGCAAAAATTATTTTAAAAATCTATCTAATTTCTTTTGTACCTTTTCATTCAGGAAAAGGGTTTGTTACCAAATGGATACAACATTGTTGGTTGTATGACACAGTATTTCAAACACTTTAACGTAATAGTTACAAATAACTCTGACACGTTCAGATTATGACATGAAAAGGGTAGTGAAACAAAAGATACATGATTCAAATGCGAACATAAGCGTAGTCTGTAATGGAGAATAAAGATAAAAGAAGAAGAGTAGTACGTGATGAAGCTTATGAATTAGATTGTATATAAAACAAATCTGAAATTATTTTGATACTCAATTTAACGAATACACTTTTTTGTCATTTAAAAAAAAAAAAGGCTGATCTAACGTTTCTATAATTTGATAATACATCTCGTTTACCGCAAAAAGTACAAAAAGGTTACATAATTACTGCTGTTCGTCGAAAAAGGTTCATCACAATTCTCGTGCTAGCGTCGTGAGAACAAAGTGTCGTAGAAACGTGAAGAAAAGAAAGGTGGGGTAGGAAAGAAAGTAGACTTGTGAAAGAGCTTTTTTTCGACCGAAACCTACGACATTTCTTACGTCCTTTGAAGACCAAGAAAAGAATGTAATTGACCCGTTTCCAGCTAATTACGTGCCCGTCACACCGACCGAAGAATTTCGTGCCTGCCTGTCGTATCCGTGTCACGCGACATCGACTTGCATCGATCTGCCGAGCGCAACGTTCGTTTGCATCTGTCGTCCGAATTACACCGGCCTATTATGCGACGAGGAGATTAACAAAAGAGATTACGAAGTGCCGTCGTTCGACGGCAAGAGCTACGTCAGGATGAACAGATTGAAGGCTTACCACAAGTTCAGCGTCGAGGTCGAGTTCATGACATACGCTGACAACGGGATTATACTTTACAACCAACAGAAGAGCGACGGCACCGGGGATTTCGTCTCGTTAGCCATCGTCGACGGGTCTGTACTTGTTATACCGTAAATTAGTGTCTGAGACAAGGAATTAGTGTAGCCGGTATAACATATTGCAAGCGACGTTTACCGATCAGCAAACATAATTTTATGTGAAATTTAAAAGGACGTATGAGAAGATATGAGAATATATTAGGTCATCAACATAAGTAATGTCGCTTCTTATCTCGGTTCGACGTTTTTTTTTTTCAAAAACAATAGAAAAAATTGATCGATTTAACTAAGAATTAATACCATATTCTCCTGACCAGAATAAAACATTTTAAATGGCAAAAATTTCAGGAACACGAACCACTTAAAGTTAACATTAGATTAGTTTTTTAATCCAACAGAGAAGAAATTTGTTGAAAAGATGATGAAAAAGTTACGTGTAAAATGGTAAATGGTCTTTGCAAACAACGGTCAATATATCATCGATTAATACTATTATTTTTGTATTGAAACTGGGCTTTTGAAACGACATTACTTATGGGGATAACTCAGTGTCGTGGTAGTATGAATGAAAAATTGAGATGTATTTTGTATTATTCCAAGGGTTGAACTTCTTTCACAGACACGTGCAGTTTCGATACAATTTAGGAAATGGTCCGGTAATTCTCTCCTCCCCTGAGAGAGTCACTATGAAAACGTTCCATCATGTGGCAGCGAAGAGGTATCATAAGGATGGTGTTTTAATTTTCAATAACAGAGAGGACGTGGTTGGTCAAAGTCAAGGGATGCTGAAGTCGCTGGATCTTAATCAGGATACGTTTATTGGGAACATGCCCACGAACTATTCTAAGTAAGTTCTTTCTCGGATTTACTCCAAGTCCCTTTTAAGCTCCCTTCCAATCAACGGATAATCTGAGATAGATCTTCAGTTTTATTTCTTCCTTAAATTTTCTTGCAAGATTGATTAACGAAAAATTGCTTAATCTGTACAGAGTTTACGACAATATCGGGACCAATCACGGTTTCCTCGGTTGTGTAAGAAAATTAATGATCAATCGGAACTTCATTGATCTTCACGTGGGCCACGACAAGGATATCTTAGAGACCTATCGACCTGTCAGCCGATCTTCGAGGAAGACCTCTGTAATGGTCGCGAGTGCAGGAGAATACAGAAACGTGGGAAGGGCAAGAACAAGAATGGTGTGAACATTGTGAGATGCAAGGGTTCGCATTGCACCTCGATAGATCCTCATAGATCGAAGAAAAACGCGAAGAAACGTTGCGCGACTCCCAAATGCGATTACAATTACGATGCTGATTATGACAGCAATTACGAACATGGAAACTATGCAGTGCAGAAGTACGATCCACCCGATTACAGGTGTATTTGTCCGCCTCAGTTCACCGGTAGAAACTGCGAGGAGTCCTTAGACCCTTGTATAGGTGAACCTTGCCAACATGGAGCAACTTGCGACATTCTTCCACAGGGTGGCTACGTTTGCAAATGTCCACCTGGCAGGACCGGAGAACATTGTGAAATTCGTAAGTAGAATCATTTTTGTTGACTTCCATATAATACGTGAAGCCTGATTATATAGCAAATGAGAGGCCAAGCTCTTAAAAACCAATTAAGCGTTAGGCGTAACTCACGATTATAAAGTTAAGTGCATACTAAAAAATAAAATATTCGAGCTCTGAGAAGTAGCAGATGTGTCGACTACATTTTTTATTACAACGAGAAACTTGAATTTGAGAAAAATGTAATTCTTCTGTTATATGAAGTTGTATTGATCTTATTGAAATTCCAAAAGATTACCAATTGTTGTTGTTGTTGTTATTATTATTATAGGAATGTTGGATTGTAGACAGGTACTCGATAAAATTTCTAACAATTCTATCATTACCACATTATGGTATAATTTTGTTTCTTAATTAATTTCAGTGGATGCGGAATTAACGGAGCTGCTGATACCGGAAATGTCTGGGGACGGTTTCCTAGAACTACCATGCTTGGAAGGTGTGGCAAAGGCATTCTCCATCGAGTTATGGTTCCTGACACACGCCAGCGACGGCTTGTTACTTTACAATGGCCAATTGAACAACGGTCGCGGCGATTTCATTAGTCTGAACTTGGTCCACGGGAAGCTGGAATTTAGATTCAATCTCGGAAGTGGTATCGCCAATATCACATCCCCGGACCCAGTTACACTCGACACATGGCATTGTGTACGAATCAGCAGGTTAGGTAGAGAAGGTGTATTGCAATTGGATGATGGAACGGTTGCAAGGGGATTGTCTGGAAGTCCTTTGACAGAGCTGAACTTAGAAATGCCACTCTACGTTGGCGGAGTGAAGTAAGTTTTGCAAAAGCGGAATTTTTCACAAAACTTCATACTTCACGTAATTGAAAATAAATTTCTTTCGAATAAATTCTAGACATTGGCGAGAGGTTCATCGACTCGCTGGAGCTTGGACCGGTTTGGTAGGCGCGGTACAAAGATTGATGGTGAACGGGAAGACGTATCAAAATTTGGCTGTCAACGTAACTCAACATAACACAGAAATCTATGATGGATTACCGTGTCCTAGCAACGAGAATCCCTGCCACAACGGCGGAGTCTGTCTACCTCTTCTAAATAGTTATCTGTGCAAGTGTGCTAGCGGTTACAATGGTCTTCATTGTGAATTTTGTAAGTTCCTCTGCACTCGTAATACCGTATTTCTGCGCATATTTTTCACACTTTTCTTTTCTTTGCCAATTTTTACTAATCGAAAATCGAGATGGAAAAAATATGCAAAACTACCCTCATCCCCCTCCCTCGTATTCCCAAAGGAATGAAAGTCAACAAAGTGCCTACGGAAAAAGTCTTGTATTTTCCACGTGAAAAATACTCTGATATTATTTTTTCTCCTAAAAATGTTTGAGGAAAATAAGGGTGCGAAAAATACGCCCGGAATGCGGCAATATGAATAAACGAGAAAATTGAAAACATACGGAAACTATTTTTTGATTTTTCGTTTTTCTAGTCATGGGCTACGTATCTACCGAATTATCCGAAAGACCAGTGCGTTTTAAGGGCGATAATTTCTTGCAGTTTAGACACCGAAGCGGAAGAAGGTAAACCCGGTTGATTAATAATGAAACGCTAACGTTTTCGAAAACATTTTATCGCATACTCCTAAGTCACTGCATCACACCTCTTAAGGTATTATTCCGAATTAGGAGCACCAAGTTAGGTTGTTCAATAACGTTAGTAACGGTAGACTAATTAGATCCTTCATCAATCAAAGTATCACTAACCTTCTGATTGTGTAACACCGACTAGTACTAACTCGACTAATACTACCCTCGGCGAGTACTTTGAGGAGTCCTACTCCGACTACGACTTGGAGGAGGATGCCGACTACGATTACGTCAGTTACGATTACACGGAGTAAGTTTCTAGGAAGAATAGCTGTGGTGTACTCGTTTGAGGGAGAGATATTATTCTCTGTATTCATGTACCGCCGTGTCCGCTACCCTGTTCATTCTGAAGTAGAGAATGTCAATGATAGACTCTTCGAACCTGATCACAGAAACTTACGCCAACAATATTTCGTTAAATTCCGTAAACTATTAAAATACTAAATATATATATATATGTTAAACGACTATGTAAGATTGAAACTTAAATGGTAATGTGAGAAATAAGTTCGAAGAGTTGATACATATATTTTTTCTAATTAATTTTGTAGCAATGCTTGCCTGTATGTGTTATGCATTTGTTCTCTGGCACAGTAGTTCGATGTTTAAGGACTAGTCTAACGAGTAGAAACTAAAAAAATATGATATTTTAGACGCAAAAATCAACAGTCGAACAAGTTTGAGCTGAGGTTGAGAACAACGCATCCGGATGGCCTTATTGCCTGGGTTGGAAGAGGAAAAGTCGAACACCTCATCCTGCAATTGCACGGTGGTCAAGTGCTTCTTGTGTACAAAGGCAAAAACGAACAGATATCGCTTCGAAGCAGGGTGTGTACTCATGTTTGAAAATTTCTACAATTCAACTATGTACAGTTACTCCAAAAAATATCCGAACACTGTACAAGCTTGCCTTTATACTGGTGTATTTCGGTTAATTATAACAAAATTAGATTCATACTTTTCCATTATGAAACGTCATTTATTGTACTTGTAGGATTACGTATTGTTCATTTAATGCACTTTCGTATACGACATTGTAATACAAATGAATCGAAATTATGCCCAATTACTATAATATTACACAAATATTCGGATACATAGTAAACATTCATATTACTCATATTCGTAATATTTAAAATATGCATATTTTTGCTTTGGCTGTGTTCAACGATTGTTTCGTCAGTGTCCAAATATTTTTAGGAATAACAGTACCCAAATTTTCCAAATTATTCGAAAAATAGACGAAACATTATTCCACGCGTTATTTCATAAAAATACTTTCAACGTTATATTTGCACATATAACCATAAATAATTCCCATCAAACTGCAGACCCGTTTTCAAAGTAGTAATTAGAAACAGTAGGAACATCGTGAAATATCTTTCTATACGAAGAACATATTTCAGGAACGAGTGGACGACGGTGTTTTCCACCACATCAGAGCATCGAGAAGGCGGAAAACATCGATGATACAGATTGACGACTTCGCCCCTATGAAGATATCGACGGAGACTACCCTATTGACGACGAACGGCAAGTTGTTCATCGGCGGTAAACCGGGCCACCGCGGCATCAAGGGCTGCGTGTCGGACTTTGTGGTGGACAAACGGCGTCTTCAACTGGCCAGGCGGAAGATAGAGTACTGTCACGACAACGATGTATGATAACGAATCCCGGAAACGACGATTGTCAACGTGACGTCGGCTCTGACCACGCTTGTCGACTGGACGACGCCTTTGTCCTCGACGAGTTAGCATCAGCCTAAAAACACGGACGAAGACGAACGAGAAGGAAGTCGTCGGTGGTGTTCGTTTCTGGGAAAACGTAGGAAACGAGGCACGAGGTTTGTACGATCGTGCAGAGAACGAGGAACAGGGAAACAAGATAGCGGAAAGGAGCTAGGCTCGATGTCGATAAGGAGACACGTGATTCCTGCCAAAGCTGTGTACGAGCGAAATTCCGTCGAAAGGGATCATCGATCGTACCCCATCGGAAGGACAGAGCGCGGATCCGATAAAATGTAGCAAGCTAACTCGTATATTTATTTTTTTCGTTCGAAATAGCCATAAAAAAAGAGAGAGAGAGAGAGAGAGAGAGAGAGAGAAAACACGGAGCCCACGCTTGTCGCTTCGTCTCTTAGGCAGACACGGGTGAAACAGAGGAGACGAGTAAAGAAGAAAAAAAGAAAGAAAAAGAAAAAAAACGGAGCATCGCGTTGAATGCTGAACGTTCTCATCTAAGGACAATAATAATATATTTTTAAGGTGTGAAGATTAAATATACATATGGATTATATATGTATGTATGAAATTTAATTGCGTATACGTATAAAACGGGGGGGAAGGAGACGCCACAAAAGCGTCGACTTGAAGTTTTCAGTGACAAGACACAAGTGGGGAAAGGGGTTTCAGGGAAAACGGGGAGGGGGGGCGAAAACACTCGGTGGCGAGCGTGAAAGGGATGAAAAATTTCATCGTCGATAATCGTTAGACGTTACTCTGTAAGTTAAATATATCGAAGCACCTATAAATGTTTTATGATGCCAAGACTGATTAAGAAAAAAAAAAGAAGGAAGTAAAAGATGGGGAGAGGGGTAGGGAGTTGAAAAATAGTTAAAAGGGAAAAAAAAACAGAAAAAAACAAAGCGATAAATCAGTGTTATGTTTGAGTGTTTCGGTAGAGAGATTTAAATGATCGTGCATTATCGGAATATAGAAGAATGTATTTTAAAGGACTTGTTGATTTATGCCAGTAGAGAAAAACAGACAGACAAACAAACAAATAAAAAAAAAACAAACAAAAAAAGAACAAGAGAATATAAGAAGAGGAACCAATAAAAATACACACGTACACAACTCACACACATACGGAACACCCACGTATCACGCATGAATAAAGAAATTATACGAAAAAACAGATACGCTGTACAACGTTGTTTCTAGGCAGACAAGGCTTTTTACAAATGCGCAAAGGAATAGAGATATATATTATTATTATGATTACTATATAAATATAAATATAAATCATGCATATGATATTATGTGCAGATTACATTCCATTTAATGGGCACACCAATGTGGCGAAGAGAAAAAAAAGAATAATTTACGTAGGGAACCACGGTGAATGTGTATCGTCGGTCAGACGATCATCAATCATCAATGTCCTGTTATACATTTTCGATCCGGTATTAGAGAATGCATCGAGCTTGCCTCGAAGACACTCCATTTCCGTTCGACAATCTACAACATACATACCTGCAGCATGTAATAGATTTTCCAGCCAATTCCAGAAAGCTTACCAAGGGTGCGACCACCAGGTTTCTTCTTGATATAACAGGGTTTTACAGAAACACGCGCGGTCTCTACCGCGATCAATTCAAATGTAAGTGAACTAGAATTGCAAGGATGATCAAAGGACGCCGCGGATGCGTTAAACAAACGATCAACGGCGTTCTCAATCGTTTCCCGTTTAACCGGACGATAATTTTACCCCTTCGAGTGAAATTTCCTTTGGTAAAGGTCAAAGTTGAACGGAAGAACAAAATGTGGGTTGAACCTTGTCTCCTCGAGAGGATTTCCAATTCATGATTGATTCTTCTACGAACGAACAGGAAACGATTCGGTTCCTCGAGTAAAAATTATTGATTATTGATATTGAAAATGTGCCGCTTGTGTGTGTAATCGAACGATCAACGAGAAGGAGTGTCTGAATGAAAGCTGACGTATGCGTGAAAAGAAAGATAAGACGGATACCGTTTCGGGATATACTAACTTGTAAATACAATTAACATATGCTGATCTACAAGTTGATTATCATTTTATTACCGTGCAATAACGTTCGCGTAAAAGCGTGCGCATCTTGCATACGTCGGACCTAAAAGAAAGGAATTACAAAGGACGACCTAATTAATTATAAATGATTCAACGAATCAGCCTTTCTTGACAATTCTTTTCATTTCATTTCTCCGTCGCCTGTGGAAACGAAAAAGAAAAAAAAAAGAAAAAACAATGTCTGCGTCAACGTGTTCTTCCCCTGCTCGTTAATCCTGTTAACGATCGCGATCTAAGCGTCGAACATAATAATATATATTTGAAGAGCCTAAGTTAATCGTTAATTAGCGACTGCCTATCTGTCGCGGAGAGAGACGCTATCGAAGATATACATTTATTCTTATTCGCCTCCTCGTCGAACGTTTCCAGCGTCGCTACGGTAAACCGGGTATGAACGGAAGTTTAATTTTTAAGAGGAAAACGAAACGAACTAATTGTACGAAATATACTTGTTAGCGATGTAAGCGTCGAGGATGAAAGGAACATTGTAACGTTTAAGATTATTTTGAGTGCACCGTTTTTGCGTACGTAATTTTCTAGAATCTAAGCGCGAGACACCAGTATACATATCTTTGACGTGCATGAGTTTTTATATTTATAAAATTTCGCGACGTGATTCGACTGTTGATCGACGTGTAAATAACAATGACCACTCTTCTGTCTGGAAATGTTCGATGTCAAAGATGTTTACGTGGGTTCTAACGAAAGAAATGAGCGTCAATCGACCAAAAAAAAAATAAAAACATTTTCGCTTGGATTGTCGTCGATTAAAGAAAAAAAGAGAGAGAAACGCGTAAACTTCGATCTTCGACCCCCGTTGCTATAACGATGAGAATATCTCGCTGGGTGTTTTTGAACGAATCTTTTATTACGTTCGTTTGTTCAGAAAGGCACACGCTTATACAATTTTTATAAAGCAATCGCTTCTTTCGTGAGATAATTGTAACGTTTCAAAGCAATCATATCTTTTTCATATCTGTCGATCTATTGCGGTCGGTGTACGAGAGAAAAGAAAATTGAAGAAAGAAAAAGTGTTTGTTCGCGGAATAATTAAGCCTTGACTATGTATAAATTGTTCCTCGTTAGTAAGAATTCGAATGATCGCGAGCAATATCGTCACATATCCTCCCTCTTGAAATGTGATTCTTTATATTCTTCCAATGAATATCGCCGTTTAACATATCGAAACGAATTTGTGGCCAATAAAGCGTTTTCTTAGTGAACGAACAAAATAACATTTCCATTGTAAACGAACACACACGTTCACCTATCAGCTGCAAAACCTTTTTCTGCTTAACGTCGATAATAGGAAATTCGCTTCGACCGTCGACGTTGCTTTAAACTCAAAAAATGCCATATTCTATGGAAGAGAAAAGAGAATTTATTACATTCGAAACATATTATAATTATATTTCTATTGAACGTATTTAAATTTATACACGTTAAGGAAGAAGGTGATGTAGATTTCAGTTTGTATTATGTGTATCGTGAAGTACGTTGACCATTATATTTCGACTGATATTAATTTGTTCACTGGGTCGAGAAAAGTTCGTTGCATCGTGAAAACGGTAGAACGATGAACGGGAGATGAGATAGGGAATATTCTAAAAACCCCATGATGTATAATTTTGTTTTTCATCAACTGTTCGAAATTGTCGATCGCAATTGTTACACCGCCACACTTCATTTGCGATAGATTGTGTATTTATGGATCGTCAGTGTGTCCGATATTTACGTAAAGCATGTTATAAAACTGCGATGTACAATGTGTAATCAACGGAACGGTACAAAATAAACCAATAAAGATATCACCCTATTCGCTTTGGAAAGTTGTTCGAGAAGAGGAGCTTCACGATGCTCGTGTGTATGGTTTTAAGAACTGGAGGATAGAGAACCGGATGGAACGAGGAAAAATTTCAATCCACGCCTGAATAAAATTACTGCCAATCTAGATAGAGATCCTAGGATCGATACTTTTTCCTCTAAAAGCTTCCCTTGACCCGAGAAAATTGTTCAGCCTGAGCCACAGGATATTTCGAAACGGGATATTCAAATTGTCCCCGATAAGATCTAACATGAGAAAAAGAAAGAGGAAACGAATCCTCCGAGAGACTTCCATTGTGCGTACAACACCGTTCAACGTCATTTGTTTCGCATGAAGGACACCCATCGCGGCAGGACGATCGTCTGAATTAGTTTTTTTACTTTGATACCGTCTTTACTGCGACCATTCGCCGTTCGCTGACCTAAAGTATTTGTGAGCTACACTGTATAACAAAAGTACGCGTTGTAAAGTGACTGTATATACAAATATAAATTATGCGATTATCTTGAGCACAGTGTTTTCTTTTTTCCACATATGATATATTTATTTACTTATTTATCATGAACCAGTTTACTACAAATAATCAATTCTTTGTTAATCATATTCTTAAAAATTACTACTAATTGTGACCCTGTGAGTACATTATAATTGTTGGCTCCTACATAGTTGTGAAGCTAATTATTTAGCAATTAAAACTTTTTTGAGACAGTACACATTCTTATTGTGACAGTAATGATTAATACTAAAGATAAGTTCGAAGAATCAAGTCATACTAATTATGTTTTCCAATCAAAAAATCTTAAATATGAAAATTCTCAAAAATAGTAGATCTATCAACCATATTATTAACTCAGGAGAATCCACTCTCCTAATAATAATTATTTCCAATGGTAATAAAAATAAAGATAAAGGTAATGGAACCATTTTAATGATAACAGTTATTGTTGCAAAGTTGTGGGGTAATGTAAGTAATTGGACAAGGTTTACACTTAATTAGTAAAATATATACATATATTTGGTTCACGAAAATATCAGATTACAAAAGACAAAAAGTCCAGCACATAAAAACAATAAAAAGATCCACCTATTGGCTAACAAATACTCACTCCAAACTTGATATGCAAAACAAACTCCTCCTATATAAAATAATTATCAAACCCTTATGGACATATGGCATCCAGCTATGGAATATGGATGTAAAATCAAATATAACAAAATGGAAAGCATGCAATCCACTTATCTCAGACAAATAACTAATGCACTTTGGTACTAATGAAGGATCTAAAAATTATCAAAGTACAAGAGGAAATAACTCAATAAGAGAATAAAAAACCACACCAACTTAATGTTCTACCCAATCTTGAACCAATTCTTAGAAGATTAAAGAGAAAGCACCAGTTAGATCTTGTGGAATAAATAATTGTGTATATGTAAAACAATAAAGACTAAATAAATGCTAATTTCACAATGGTGGAAAAAGCCACATACTATTGTAACAAAATAATTACACATATTTGTTTATTGTCTTTTTGACAGATTGTAAATGTGAAAGAGGAGTTAATGAAAAAAGAAATTTGACAAAGTTCTTGTTGGAAGTCTGTGACAACATGGCTGACACATTCGATTCTTCATTTATCAGTAGAGTCCATCTTTCATTGTGGCTTTCATGGTACTAGATCCATCTCTTCTTCTTATAACTGCACTGTCAAGCACTGTGTATAAGTGCACTGTGTACGAGTATTGTATTTCTTAATTTGATTTCATTTGTTTCATGATCTGATAATTTTATTTCAATTTTGGTTTCTTTTCTATCTTTGGAGTTTACATAGCTTTCTGTAGCCATGTATATTTTGTTCTTCTGATCTTCAACAATACTTTTAAATTTATTTGTCATTGCTCATGTGCATTATTGCTCCGTTGTTCAGGCCATTGTCTAGTGTAAATGCAATAGAATCTTCTTGAACTTCCAGCTTTTGCTGTATTTCTGCAGTTTTTTGTTATGTGACTTGTTCTTCCACATGTGTAGCATTTTTCGTTGAACCTTTTGTTTTAAGCACACTAAAGATGTAATTTCTGGTGGTTCCTTAATATAAGGTGTTTTCTTACATAAGAGTAGTGCTTCTCCATTGGGATCACGTGGTTCGTCGTTTTCTGTTTTTCTTATATTTTGTCATGTAGAACCTTTGGATTTTTACACGTCTTTGATAGTTTCTAAGAATTCCAGCGATGTTCTTGCTCGTTTAATATAATTGAATTGATTTGCCCTTACACTTAATGT